GTTAACCTGTACTGTTTTTAAGAGAAATCTAACATTTAGGAGACTACTTTATCCAGTGAAGTCCAGACTAAGCAAGATAACATTTTTAAATTATGTACCTTTTGGTTCAGCTGTTACAGGGAGTACTCTGAGTCCTCACCACTGTTCCTATAAAAACTCAGTTAACTTTAAAAAATAGTCAGTGTCCCAGGCCTTTGTTCCTGAGGTGACGCGTTTTCCCCCAAGTCTGCGGTGACCGGCTCGTTCCGAGAGTCATGCCCCAACTCAAGGTTCATTTGTTTAAACAACTCTGTTTATACAAAGGGCACATCAAAGTTAAAGTACTTTAACTAGAAGAATGCCAAAATATTTGGTTGCAAACTGAAAGATGACTTAAAGGCATGTGGGTATTTTGATTTTTCAAAAACTTTAGCTTTTAGATGGACGTGTTTTCCAGCCAAGCTCGCTCCTCCTGGCTGGTCTGGGAAGTGAGCAAATGTTTAAAGATGATGATGGTCTTCTTTTGTGGTTGGCAAGTATTTTACTACCGAAGTCAATACTAATGAGGGCCATCCGTGCGGCTGACATTCTGCCAAGCCCTTTGTAGGATGAAGAACAAAGTGATACGACAGTAAGTCTTAGTGTAGGGAAACAGTTCGAACCCAAAGGCCTTTCTTCCCCTCAGCTCGGTGAATTCCTGAAAGATGGAGGCGGCCTTGGGCTTCTTGGTTCATCGCGGGGCGTGTACCTGCCTGGGCCAGGCTCAAGGCCTCTGCAGGACTTTTGAGGACAAGCTCAGTAAGGTGCCTGACTCCTGGTGGCCCCCCAGACGCCTAGTGTTGATAAATTAAGGCCTCTCTACAAGTGAACTTAGCATCAAAAAGCCCGGAATTAGGAATTTAGTTGGAAAAGACACTCCGTGGTTTGGAAAATATAATGTTGCCCTTGCCTGGTTTCCAAAATGCATATCGGTGTAAAACTTTCAGCATAAATATTTCTTCTTTTGCTCTATTTTTCAATAAGAAGAAAGGGGGGGAGGGGAACCCTTCAGCTCAGTGAGACTTGCCCATGGCCTGAACTTGGGACTTACATACATATTCCCACGTTAACAACAGGTGTGAGGGAGATTCTCCCATCAAAAGGAGAAGTTCTCATTAACTGCACCCTTCAGTTTAACACATGGAACATTTCCCCACTGCTTCCCAGGTGCTAGGAAGCCTTTGAATTCAAGGTCAGTGATCTGTTTACCACCCCTCACCCCAAAGCCGAAGTGTTTGGTGCGTTCACCCTGCCATACACATCACCCGAAAAGGTCAAGTGGAATTTGAAATAGAGGCCAGTGTGGCTCAGCTGGCTGAGCATTGTCCCATGCACTGAGAGGCCACCAGTTCAGTTCTGGTCGGGGCACCTGCCCTGGTTTCAGGCTCAATCCCCAGTGGGGGGCATGCAGGAGGCAGCTAATTGATGTGTCTCTCTCTTATTGATGTTTCTCTCTCTCCCTCTCTCTTCATCTCTCGAAAATCAATGAAAACGTTTTGAAAAAAAAAAAAAAAAACAAGAAAAAGGGCCTAGAAATTCTCATAATGAAGTATAAATATGTCCCAAACATTATGGAAGACTGCTTATACTAAAAATGTATTCACTACTTATCTGAAATTCACATTTAACTAAGTGTTCTGTATTTTATCTGGTGAGCAGAGCGAGTGGACAAAGGCATGCAGTCAAAATGTCTTAGAAAGGAGGGAATATGTTTTTCAGGAACTTTGAAAGTATCTGGTAACAAATAAGAACATTATAAATGCTGATTCAAATCGTTATTATAACTCCAGTCACATAAAATTATGTAATTTATCATGTTATATAAAGTAATGAGTCTCTAAACCAGTGTAAGTTGAACTTTTGTAACTCAGATATTTCCCCATTCGTTTATGTTAAAATGTTAGTAATGTTTCGTCTCATTTATGATTAATCTTCAGTTGATTCAGAATCGATTTTAACTTTCTATGTTCCCAGGTTTGTAAGTTAATGATCTATTTGGGAATTCTTCAATGGCTCTGGGGACTCCATTGTGTGAGTACTTTTGTAAAACAAAGAGTCTTTTTTTTGGAATTCGAAGACTTTTCTTGTATTGTTATTAATCACCCCTAATATATCAGTTCAAGCATGGGTTTTTGAAACTGAGCACACCTAATTTCCTCTTTTATAGCTTATTATTGAAAAAAATCACAAATAGCATAAACTGCTCATTTTTCAAAATAAGTAGTTCATTTCTTTAAACCAGAGTGATTTAAAGTTTTGTTTTGTTTTAAGAAAAAAGAAAACTTCCCGAGGAAGTCCAGTTAGAGTGTCCGGGAAGTGGCAGCTCAGAATGTTTCCCTCCCGGACCTGCCGGGAAGTGGCCCCCGGGCCGGGAGCCGCCAGGGGGCGCTGAGCGCTGACCCTGCGGCGGCGGGAGGGCCCGCAGCTCAGCTCTCGGGTGGGGATGGCCGAGCGGTCCACGCGGGCGTCAGCGCGCCTTCCCCTGCGATGTGGGCTGTTGACGGGGGAGCCGTCCGCGTCACCAGGTGCGGGTCACAGCGGCAGTTCAAGTGTCCCCTGGAAAGATGGGCTCTTTCTGTCTCCCGATCAATGGGAACTAATTCATCGAAAACTTACTGAGAGCCTCCGGACCAGCTGCTACTTACGCCCGGGGGTCCATTGGTGAGCAAGCCAAGCAAAGGTCCCTGCCTCCTGGGGTTCACCTCCTATCGGAGGAGAGACAGTAGATCATAAACATGAGAAACAAGTCGTCCCATGTGCTGGGAAGTGGTACTATTACCAGGGCGGGAGGGTCTGGATTTGGGCTTGGGGGGGTTGCATTCGACTCGGGGAGGTCAGGGTGGGACTTGGTGCTGGGGACATTTGACAAAGACTTGAAGGGGAAGTGGGAAGCAAGCCACTGGACGTGCTGAGCAACTGTCTCAGGCAGACGGAAAAGAGCCGCTGGGTCCCTGCTTGTGGCTGACCCATGGTTCTCAACCCCCATGCTTTTGCCCCCAGGGGACATGTGCAGTGTCTGGAGGCACTTTAGTTTGTCACTACTGGGGTCGGGGGTTGCGACTGGCATCTCTTGTAGAGGCCAGAGATGCAGCTAAACATCCCACTAGCCCAGCACCCTCTCCCCACCAGCAAGGAACGAACGACCGGGCCCAGACGGCCGCAGTGCTGAGGCTGAGGAACCCTGCGTTTGGGGCACAGTGAGGCGGCCAGTAGGCTGGGGGGAGGCAGTGCAGAGAGGACCTTGCGTGTAACCGGCTGGGGCAGGGCAGCGCCGGGTCAGGTAGGGCCCTCGGCTTTTCCTCCGAGAGAAATGGGGAGCCGCTGGAGGAATCGGAGCAGAGCGGGGCGTGAGCTGCGTGGCCAGTTTTGAGAGTGCAGCTGGGGCTGGGTGCAGAATGGGCTGAAGGAGGGTCAGGCTGGGATGAGGGAGGTGCGCAGGCAGGAGGGGAGGGGCTCAGACCAGGTGGCAGCAGAACCATCCAGTGCCACATTGTAGACGTCGGGCAGCGAGGGGCTCTGGGGAGTCCCCACGATCCCCGCTCTGTTCACTGCTACCCATCATGTGTTGTATATATAGTACCTGTATCTAGACAGCTAGACCGATGGATAGCTAGACAGACGCATGTGGTGGAGTCACGTTAGCTGTACTTTGTTTTACACAGTGAGACACCTGATATCTGTTTTGACCATCAGTTCACGAAAAAACAGTTTGCTGTGGGCCGGGCCCAGGGTACCCCTAACCTGCTTCAGCACAGGCTCTGAAAAAGCCTTCGCTCTTGCAAACAACTCTCTTGTGGTGTATTTCTTTAAGGCACGTGTAACCCTAAACAGACCAAATCCCCCGAAAATGGGATGAGGGGAGCATAAAAGGTGTGGTACCTAATAAATGGGCTTTTGAATTGCTTCCTTCATTTAGAAATGTATTCAGTTGTTCAAATGGCTCATCTTCTCGTGCTTCGTCGGCCAAAGCGAATGCTGAAACATGTTGGAAAACACCGAGAGATAGTTAACTCCTGCTTTTACGCAGCGGTCTCGACCGTCGTAGCAGCAGCCTCCTCATTCCTCCGTGTGATGTCCCCAAAGTGCACCATGTCTTGTCCTGTTTCAACCCAAGACAGGGAGTCCTGGGACAGCCTGCAGCAGGGGCCAGGCCCCCTGGGGCACCCTCCACCTGTCCACACTCCACCTTAGTTCCACGTACTGCTGTGACACATTTCGTTGTCATCCTGCAGTAGTGCCATCTCCATGCTGTTCCAAGGAGGTGCTAAATCGGTCTCTGTTAGTGAAAAGCAGGCCGTTTTGCAGTCCCCTCATGTTTCTAAGGAAGTTGTAAAATATACGTGACTTCAGGAGCTTTTCATTTGTTCTGTCAAAATGATTCTGGTCCCGCTCAGCCATGCAGAGGTGTTGAATCGGGGTGGATCTCAGGGAGGAGCACAGGGTAGTAGCAATGTTGGAAGACTTCCCCATCCAAGAGAACCCTTTACTCAGGATTTCCCAACTGCAGTCCATGGATCACTCACATTAGAATTCCTCCGGGCTTGTTAAAGCCGCTGGCTCCTGGGCCCCTCCCCACACCTCCTCCTGAGGGCCGGGATCTGCATTTCGGGGAGCACCCGGCTCATTCTCCTTGTTTGCCACCCACTGCTCTAGGCTGTCTGTAGGCAAGGAAGCTGGCCTCCAGGATCAGCCTGCTCCAGATGTCATTCAAATGAACCCCGCCTTTAAGGGTTTGTCTTCCACAAGGAAGTGTAGCACCCACATGGTAGCCTGTGTCTGCTGAATTCTTTCCCTTCTGCGGAGGCCTGGAGGGTGCACACAACCCTCCGTTCTGGGGGGTGGGGGTCACTCAGCTGGACGGGCTGCTGGTTGTGCTCTGGGCCGTCCTGGCTGACTTCCAGAGGCACTTCGATCTAGAAGACGCGTGAAATGACCATTGTCGTTGTCTCACGTTTTCTCTTTTCTGTTTCCTTGTTGAACAGCCAATATGCCAGAGGATTACCCCGATCAGTTCAATGACGTCATGGATTTCATTCAAGCCACCATAAAAAGGCTGAAGAGGTCCCCGGACAGACAAATGGCTGTACTCCCGAGAAGAGAGAGAAATCGGCAGGCTGCAGCGGCCAACCCCGAAAACCCCCGCGGGAAAGGCCGGCGAGGCCCGAGGGGCAGGAACCGGGGCTGCGTCCTCACCTCCGTCCACCTGAATGTCACGGACTTGGGTCTGGGCTACGAAACCAAGGAGGAACTGATCTTCCGGTACTGCAGCGGCTCCTGCGAGGCCGCCGAGACCACCTACGACAAAATCCTGAAGAACTTATCCAGAAGCAGGAGGCTGGCGAGTGACAAAGTGGGGCAGGCCTGTTGCAGACCCATCGCCTTCGATGACGACCTGTCGTTTCTGGACGACAACCTGGTTTACCATATCCTAAGAAAGCATTCCGCTAAAAGGTGTGGATGTATCTGACTCCGGCTCCAGAGACCGCTGTGTATTGCATTCCTGCTGCAGCGCAAAGAACGGGACCAAGGTTCCCAGGAAATGTTTGCCCAGAACGGAAGATGAGGACCAAGGCGGAGGAGGAGGAGGCCGAGGAGGAGGAGGAGGAGGAAGGAGGAAGGCAGCCGTGTGGGAGCCTGGTACAGAGAGATCCAGCTACATAAAACTGGACGGGAGGGAAACAGCGTCTGGATTCTCCCGGACGGCAGCTGATGCCACCAGAAGCTCAGGGCTGGCGCCCTGGTTGGGTGTTGCCATCATTTCATCCGATACAGTCCACCGTCACCGGTTGCGGGCACAGTTGCGGATGCACTTGAAACCAAACCAGTGTGTCTCCTGCGGTTTGTTTTCGCTCGCTGGAGGCACCGGGAAGCGGAATCCTGGTGTCGTTCCTCGTCATTACGTTTTACTGCTGAAAGCAAGAAAGGTTTATTTTTCTGTCACTCAGTGGAGACATACCCCGGAAAGGAGGGCGGGGGAGAAAGCAAAGACACCAGAGACAGTCACCTCTGAATCTGAAAGTTGAGGCCTGAGGTTTACTACAACCAGCACGCTGTGAACCGCTGGTGATTCATTTTGAACTTGGTGTGTGGGGTGGGAAGCAGTTGGCTAGGAACCAAAAAGGCTGTCCTCATGACTAAAAACCAACCTGAAGGTATTTCCTTTAGGGCCTTGGAAACGGGAAACCAGTTGTGGTTTTCTCCAGCATTCTTGCAGGAGAGCGAATGGGGAAGGCCCCCGCTCCCCAGGGCCTGTCGGTTTACAGAGAGACAGATGTTACATACACCCCAGCTCTGGCTATGCGTGGTCACCAGTGACCAGAGAAGCTACTCGATGCAATGCATCTGTTTCAGATACGGAAATATAGAGAAGATATTTATTGAGATTTAAGTTATTGTTATTTATTACCGTTCACTAATGAGTTTCTCTTTCTTCCCTTATTTATTAAAGTCTCTTTTCAAAGGTGCCAAAGTATATGTGCTCGCAAAATGCAAAGAAGGGTGACAAAGGAAATTTTAATTGGGAACAAGGGTCCATGCTTTTCAAAGTATTAAAACATTTTTCGCTAGGCAAAAATCACTTACTTTACCTTTTAAAGAAAAGCCCTCATTAATATCCCCCAATTTCAGCATATTTCTTTCTTTTTTTTTTTTACAAAAGAAATGTGTCCAAAGGAACGTGTCTGACAGGCCCCCTTTTCGGGAGCAGCGTGCAGAGACCGTTGGCACTTGGTTTTATTTCTTCGTTGCTCCAGCTCTGAACAGAAATGCTGAATGCTCCATTTTCTGTCATATTTAAGCTCTTATTTCCCGCCACATATATCTATCTATGATACACGTTACGCATAACCATGTATACAAAAGGTTAAATTCCTTTTAGCAGGTAATTCTGGATCTAAGTCCTTTTCGTGGGTAATTGACCTAAAAGTAAAACCTGCCAGGTAGCCAGGGATCCACTCTGAGCCAAGACTCTTCCTTTATCCTTCCTCCTGTCGCTGAGACAATGCCAGTGCCCAGCACAGCTAAGGAGCATGCTGCCGGCCTTCCAAAACAGGGTTCTGCTGGTTGCCACAGAAGCCCCTGGGCTGTCGACTTGGGGTACTAGTTGCTGTCCCTGTACACCTGAGCCCTCCCTTGGAAGAAGGCAGCCAGAAGGGTGGATGAGGAAGATGTGTCTGGCCTGGCCACTCACCAAGCCTTACTCCCAGAGCGTGTGCTGCCTTTACGATGAACGGCTGGAGGGGAGAAAGGCAGGATGGGAACAGCCATCTCCTGTGAGCCCCAGATCCTGGATTTGTCTGGGAGCCGCCCCTGCGCAAGGCACTGGGCCCTACAACAGAGCATGTTACGCATTTCGAAAAGGGTTTTTATCAAGGAGATCAGCTATCACTACCTTAGTGGCTATTAGCCCCCAAGTATGACAGGTTTTGCAATTAGAAGACCTTACTGGCCTCCCTCAAATCATGTTAATTTTACAAAGAAACCAAGAGGCAGCAGTTACCAGACATCCCTTCCCCCTAGCCCCAGACACCCAAGTTCTCCATCATTCTGCCCCGCTCTGTCCTTTCTGCTCCCCTTGCAGGACTTGGAAATGGAGGGAAAGGGCCTCCCCTCCCCCTCTCCGGGGCCCGAGTGGGGACCCTGCTGAGCAGCAGCCTGCTCGGAGCAGTGGAGACCCAGCCCTCATTCAGGGAGCACAGCTGGATGATGCCGCAGGGTCCTCTGTCCCATGCAGAGAGCCCTGGTGGGTTTGGTGGCTGGTGTCCCCAGGTGTCAACTCAGCCCCCCGCTCCCCAGAGAGCCCCTGCCCAGGGGCGCTGTAGACTCGGGGCGTTCTCTCCTTGTTCCGGCACCAGGACGCACCATAAGCAGGCTTTCGCTGAAGCGAATCGCCCCACGTCCGCAAAAGGGTAAAGTTTGTGATTTTTCTTGATTGTTGCGATTACCACCTGATGCAGTATGCAGTGCCCTTCTTTGAAGTTCTGACTTCTCTGATCTGTCTCAGTCGTTTGTGTTATTCAACCAAAGTTCTCTACAGACTTTATTTTTGTACAATATCATTTTGTAACTTTTTACAAATAAAAATTCATTTCTATTGCTCTCTGTACTTCTGTCCTTCCTCGCGTGCCTGGAGACCACGCCCGGGGCGCAGCGTCCAAGCGCCCAGGTCCTGGGCTGGAAGGCCGCCCGGTGTCCCCTCCCCCACCACCCAGCCTGCTGGTTGGTCAGTGGCCTTGCCTATCAACTCTGCACAACCAATCACCACCCAAGTGGGAAAACACTTCCTTTGTTCACTCAACGAACGAATACTTTCGGGGTGCCTGCGCCATGCCTGGCACTACTCAAGGCACCCGCCATCCAAAAGTAGGCGAAGCAAAAACATCTGCCCTCATGGAGTTGATATTTCTTTTCAGTGGAAAAGGACAATATGCAAAAATGTAAAAATACATAGTGATCCTGGTGATGGCAATGCTATAAAGAATCCAATTGGGAGACTATAACAGAAAATAGCACGGCCTGCTTTAGAGGTGACCTTGAGGCAGGACCTGAGAAATAGATAGTGCCACCAAGTGAGCATCCGGGCAAACCCTGAGCCGGCGAATTCTTGGACAGGGCCACCACTTTGCCCAGCTCTGGGCGATGCTGCTCACATCAGTTCTGTGTGGCAAGGTAGCAGGATTCCTGGAATTGTGCAGACGGGGGCCCTGAGCTTGGTGTGTTCTGGTGGCAAGAAAAACACGCGGAAGAGAGGAAATGCCACTGCCCTGGGTTGGGGGAGGACAGCATGCCTCCTCCTCAGATGACAAGCCCCGTGGAAGTCACAGGTGGCCTTGCAGGGTGTTTTAAGTCCAACACAAAACCCTAATGTTCTTGACACTCTTGGGAATGGGCACCAGCCTAGGCCCCTAGCGGGCAGCGCCCTGTGGAGCCCGGCTTTGCGTCAGCCGCCCCCCTGCGACTCCCCTGGCTGCACTGAGACTCTGCGCCCCCTGTGGGCTCGGGGGTCAGTCCTGCCAGGGCAGCGCTGAGGCCCGCTGCGTGCTCTCAGCCAAGTTCTGGTGCGGAGCTGGTGACTTGGAGAGGGAGTCCAGATTGTGAAACACCTGCTTACTTCCGCTCCCTTTTCAGACACAGTTCCCCAAGTGTGCTCCCAGGATGACTAACTGGCTAAGATGTCCCTCAATAAAAGGAGAATAGGGTGGTCCTCTGATCAAATACGTTTGGAAAACATTGAGTTAAATAAGATTGCTCATTCTTTTGGTTTTTGTTTTATTAAAAAGAGAAGTGTAGGCCCTATCCAGATAGCTCAGTTGGTTAGAGCATCTTCCCAATGTGCCTTGCGGGTTTGATCCCTGTTCAGGGCACAAACAAGAATCAACCAACGAATGCATAAATATGTGGAACCAATAGATCGATGTTTCTTTCTCCCTTCCTCTCTCTCTAAAATTCAAATAAAAAAGACAGACTGTAGAACTTACAGAGCCTTTGTCAGACGAAGGAGCATGGTGACAGCCCAGGAGGGGCGTAGTGTGCTGAATTCCCCAGGTGGAGGGACCACGAAAGCACCTGTGTTTTTGTTTTCTTTCTCCTAACACCTGTTGACCGTTCCTGGAGACTACCCTGGGCCATGTTGCCTGCTCTTGTAAGCAGCGGGATGAGGGGGAGGGTCTAGAGATCAGTGAAGAGGTAGAAACCACTGAGCATTTCCCCAAGAAGGATACACACACACACACACAGAGGACACTGGGGACCTGCGGTTCTTGCTCAGCATGATTAACCAGTGGTCAGCTTGGGAAATTTCATTTCCAGAAGAAGAATGTAGAATGAATTTCTCCCGAGAAAGGGAGAAAGTGTTGAAAGCCGGGAAATTCTTAGCAATCAGAAGGGAACGTTAGCTGTCCTTCCTGGAGGCCCTGGGCAGGCTCTCGGGTTGGAACTGCCGGAGCTTTGACTGGCCTGCAGTCCTGAGGGTGAGTGCCGCTGGCAGGGGTCCCCGGAGGGCATGCTGCCTGCACTGGGCTTGGGCTCGGAGCCCCCTGATGCTGGGCATGGTGTCAGAGCACTGACTCTGGAGCCCGGCCCCCTGGGTTGGCTGTCTCACGTGGCCCCTGCCCACGAGTTCATCTCATGAGCTCAACTCAAGCCGGTTTCTCCCACGTCGCCAGTGCTGAGTGAAGGAAAGGTTTAAAAGAACTTTTAACAGAATCAACCCACTCCCAAGGTAAAGGTGGAACATCAGCATTTCCTAAGCCTAAATCTGAAAAGCAGAAAGCCCCGCCCTTCACCTGCAGGGTCCATTTGGGCCACCAGTGGTTTGCTGTGTGACCCTAGGCTGCCAGGGAGGGGTCCCAGAGCTCACGCTGTCTCCCTTTGCTTCTCAGAACAGAGGCCCGGGGGACGGAGGTGTCGGCCCGGGCTCAGGCTCCGGCTCTCCTCCATCAGGTAATGTCTGAGCCCCAAGTGACCCCT